ACTTGGGACACAAAAGACCTATACAAAGAAAACTACAGAATACTCCTTCAAGAAACCATAAGAGATCTACGTAAATGGAAGAACATATCATGCTCATGGACATGAAGATTGAACATTGTGAAAATGTCAGTTTTATCCAAAGCAATCTGTACATTCAATGCAATCCTAATCCAGATCCCATCAACATTCTTTGTTGTTATGTGCCACTGAGTCAGACCTGACTCATAGCTACCCCTCCTTGGGTTTCCGAGGCAGTATCACTACAGAAGTAGATTGGCCAACCTTCCTTCTGAGGAGCGGCTGGTGAGTTTGAACCACCAGCCTTCTGGTAAGCAGGCAAGTGCCTTAGGAACTATGCTACCAGAGCTCCTTCAACATTCTTTAAGGATATGGAAAAACCAATCACTAATTTTGTATGGAAAGGAAAGAGACTTCAGATAAGTAAAACACTGTTAAAGAAGAACAAAGTAGGAGATCTCACACTCCTGGATCTCAAAACCTACTATACAGCCTAGTTGTCAAAACAGCTTGGTATTGGTACAACAAAAGACACATAAACGAGTGGAACAGAACTGAGAACCCAGAAATAGATCCATTGAACCATGGTCAGCTGATTTTTGACAAAGGGCTGAAATCCATTACTTGGGGGAAGAGATGGTCTCTTTAATAAATGGTGCTGGCAAAACTGGATATCCATTTGCAGAAAAATTAAACAAGATCCATACCTCATACCATACACAAAAACTAACTCCAGATGGATCAATAACTTAAATGTGAAACCTAAAACTATAAAGTTCCTCAAGGAAAAACTAGGGGCGAATTTAGGGGCCCTAATTTATGGCTCCAGTGGCATAGTACCTAAAGCATCTGATTGCTAACCAGAAGGCTGGAGGTTTAAATCCACCAGCCACTCCTTGGAAGGAAGATTTGGCAATCTACTTCTATAGAAATACCTCCTTAGAAACCCAAGGATGGGTCGCTATGAGTCAAATTGACTTGACAGTAGTGAGTTTGGTGTTTTGGTTTTAATTTATGGCATAAATAGACTGTCAAGCATAACCCAAAATGTACAAACAGCAGAAGACAAAATAGATGAATGGGACCTCCTCAAAATTAAATTTTTATGTGCTTCCAAAGATTTCTCCAACAGAATTAAAAGAGAACCTAAAGATTGGGGAAAAAATATTTGGCAAGGACATATCTGACAAGGGACTTATCTCTAAAATTTATAGAAAACTCCAACACTTCAACAAGAAAAAGACAAATAATCCAATTAAAAAATGGGCAGAAGATATGAATAGACACTTCACCAAAAAGAATATTCAGGCAGCCAACAAACACATGAAGAAATGTTCACAGTTATTAGCTATTAGAGAGATGCAAATCAAAACAAAAATGAGATACCATCTAGCCCCAGTATTAATAGCAAAGTTCAACAAGACAGAAAATAACAAATGCTGGTGAGAATGTGGAGAGATTGGGACTCTCATACACTGCTGCCAGGACTGTCAAATGGTACAACCATTGTGGAAAGTACTATGGCAATTCCTTAAAAAGTAGGAATTAGAAATACCATTTGATCCAGCAATCCCATTACTAGATATATATCCTAAATAAATGAGAGCCAGGACAGGAACAGATAAATGCACACCCATGTTCATCACAGCACTATTTACAATAGCAAAAAGATGGAAACAACCTAGGTGCCCATCAACAGAACAATGGATATCCAAACCATGGTACATACACACAATGGAATACTATGCAACTCTAAAGAATAATGTTGTTGTTGTTGTTATGTGCCGTCGAGTCGAACCCGACTCATAGTGTCCCCTCCTTGGGTTGCCAAGGCAGTATCACTACGGAAGTAGATTGCCCCATCTTCCTTCAAAGGAGTTGCTGGTGGGTTTGAACCACCAGCCCTCTGGTTAGCAGTCTAGTGCCTTAGGCACTATGCTACCAGAGCTCCCAAAGAATAATGTAGAACCTGCAAAACACTGCATAATGTGGATGAATTTGGAGGACATTATGCTGAGTGAAATAAGTCAATCACAGAAGAACAAATATTGTATTAGTTCATTATTGTAAAAATTCAAGGAAAGGTTTAAATGTGGAAAGAAATTTTCTTTGCTGGTTACCAGGGATAAGAGGGGAAGGGGAGGGAACACTGCAAAAATAAAAATAAAAAAATAATAAAGTTTTGAACATTATGTATCTTATAACCCCATTTATCTAATGCACTCCTCTGCTGAGATGTCTAACATGTCTTCATCTGTATTCTCTTCTATCTCTGGCAAGTTGCCCCAAAGTAGGATATTTACACCTGGAAATACAAAGTCATAAGATTATTTAGTGCTGGCTACTGTTGCAACTCAGAACATGATATACAAAACCTTATATTAGCATTCTTATATTAAGCCATAGTTGTTAGCAGTTAAGAAAAGCTATTAAAGAATATAATCCAAAACCACTGCCATTGAGTCAATTTCAACCCATAGTGACCCTACAGAACAGAGGAGAGGAGAATTGTCCCATAGGGTTTCCAAGGCTATAAATCTTTACGGAAGCAGACTGCCTCATCTTTCTACCAAGGAGTGGCTGATGGTTTTGAACTGCCAGCCTGTTGGTTAGCAGTTAAATACTTTAACCACTTTTCCACCAGAGCTCCTTTTTTAATATAAACCAAAAAAAAAAATCAAACTCAGTGCCATCCAGTTGGTTCTGACTCATAGCAAGTTTCCGAGGTGGGTTTCTGTTCTAAGGCAGTATCACTAGGAAGTATATTGCCCACTTTCCCTTCTGAGGAGTGGCTGGTGGGTTTGAACCGCCAGCCTGCTGGTTAGCAGTCAAATGGCTTAACAATTTAGTTAAATTCACATTCATCTAGGACATAAAAGGAGAGCTCTGGTGGCATAGTGCTTAAGGCATTTGACTGCTAACCAGAAGGCTGGCTGTTCAAACCCACCAGCCACTCCTCAGAAGGAAGACTGGGCAATCTACTTTTGTAGAGATACCACTTTGGAAACCCAAGGAGGGGTCGCTATAAGTTGGATCCAACTCCATGGCAGTGAGTTTGGTTTTGGGTAGTACATAAAACTAACCAAAATGTTGGTGGTTTGAATCCACCAGTGGTTCTGTGGAAGAAAGATGAGGCAGACTACTTTTGTAAAGATTTACAGCCTTGGAAATCCAATGGGAGTTGCTATGAGTTTGAGTCCACTCGATGGCAGTGGGTTTGGTCTATTTTTGGAGGACATAAACATTCTTTAAGTTATTTTAAGCAAAGGCTTAAATTCTATCTCTTAGTTATCAGTCTTAGAACTCAAAAGGATTGGACCATTTACTGTCTCCTATTTTATGCCATAATCACTCCACTGAAAAAAAAAGAAAAACCAAACCCACTGCCATGGAGTCGACTCTGACACATAGTGACCCCCACAGTTTTCCAAGATGGTAAATCTTTTCAGGAGTGGATTACCCCATCTTCCTTCCACAGAGCGGCTGGTGGGTTTGAACTGCCAACCTTCTGATTAGCAGTGCCTTAGGTACAGTCATCATTTTCTAGTCTATTTTAATGATCTCAAAGAGTGGAAATCTCACATGATCCTTTTTGATCAAGAGCTTTTTTGAACGGTGCCGGGGATGGGCTTTGGGTAAGTCTTAGCATTTCTTCAATAAGCATGGAAGTAGCTAGTGTTTTTTTTTTAATTAAAAAAGGTAAAGTTTTATAATCAGTTATAATATGAACTGTAATCCTTGATATCAGTGGGTTACAGCCTAGAATAAAGGAAAACTGTCAAGGTAAAGTTGTAAACTTTACATTGTAGCAGTCAATATAATAAACAAATGACAATCTAAAATCTCACTGAGAAAGGGCAGTCAGATTTCATATTGAAGAATCATCACAGAAATATAGTATAGGACCAAATGTATGGTAGAGGATTATGAGATGGTTTATGTTGGGCACATATTATACTATAACTTGAAAGCACTAAATTGAAAAAGATATCAACTGACCTCTAAGAAAGTCAATGAAGTTTAACAAGAAAAGTTGTCCAGTTGTCAGTGTGGACACAAGGATGACTCAGTGACTGACTATTCCTTCACACACACTGAGATAACAGTAATATGATGGAATGGAATAAGCCAGGGTTTGGAGATTTGGTTTGAATCCAGTTCCCACCAGTAGTGCTTCATGGATGTTTTTACTACAAATGTATGCAACTACAGATCATATATGTTAATGTTCTGTGTATTTAAATTTTTTACAAAATGATAACTATATGTATCTTTTCTAATTTGTTTTTTTCACTCAACATTAGGTTTTTGAAGTTTACCTGTGCTGATCTGTGTAGATTAAGCTCATTCATTTGATTTCTATTCTTTCTGTATTCCATCATGTGAATGAAAACACATTGCAAATACAGCCTATCACTTGTCCCTTCCTCTAACTGCCCATCTTAAACAGATGCCCAAGGAGAAATGTACAAGAGTATGCAATGCTACATTGCTGAGTCAGTAAAACCATCAACCATCTTTTTCTGCTGAGAGAGATACTGGAATTTATCAGGTAAGAAGTTAGCACCTATTTGATGCTGCTGAGGACATAGATGTTTATTATATCATTTTCTGTAAACTTTTGTGTGTTTGAATTGTTTTATAATTTAAAAAAAAAACACTTATTTTTTCCCCAAGAATGAATGGCATTGAAGAGCTGGCAGGATAGTAAGGGATGATTAGGCCAAAATCTAGGAAAATTGGAACCCACAAGGTAAATGGAGAGCTAAAGCCACTTTGCCTTTGAGGGCATTTGCCAGTATCAGAGAATTTGAGTGGAGGTTTTCCAGGCCTCCTCAAGAAAATTTCTGGAAATCAGGTCTAAATGTGGAGATTAGCCTAGAATATAGACCTCTTGGAGCCCTTTTCAGTCTAAACATTCTAGAATTTATAAAGCTTGTGTATGTATTCCTTTAACACTCCTGATTCATGTGATTTGAGGACCGTTCCAACCGTATTAGAAACCGTCCTTTATACCAAGAATCCATAAAATCTTGCTTTAACTCACATTAGGGCTACAAAGGAGAAGTTTGATATTCTTGGAGTCAATACTCAGAGACATGAAGCAGCTCAGCACAATTGGTTCAAAGGAGAAAAAATAAACTAAAAGATTGGATCTGAAAGAAGCGGCACCTTCCTTTCTCTGTTAAGAAGGGAGGAAGGAAATCCTGTGATACATCTGTTTCTCATGGATTAGATTCAATGTGAATGGAAGAAAGCTAGGCTTTTATCTTTGAAAAATTTACCAATATTAAAAAGTAAATCAAAATTGAAAAATCTCTACCCTGTGTTTTGAATACTATAAAGCAAGAAAAACAGTATCAAAGCAGAAACTTCCTTTAATGTACCCCATGGACAACACAAATGCAAAACTAGAGGCCTAAATTAGTAGTCTATATCCCACTTAGGAGAGTTCTGATAAACTCTTGCTTGAAAATAGCCTTAACATACTAGAGTCTTAAATTAAGACACCTAATGATGGGTTGAGAGCCACAGTGGAATCTCAGGTGATGAAAAAAAAAAAAAAACCCAAAGACATCGTCTATAAAAACCCAAGCATAATCAGAGGGTTTAAAGATCCTGACAACACAGCTTGCAATTCATGATCTTTTGGTCTGTAAAGGCAAATCACACTAAAAAAAAAAAAAAAAAAAAAAAAAAAAGAAGAAGAAGAAGAAGAAGAAAAGGAATATACTTTAAGTTCCAAAGAAGGCCAAAACATACATTTAAAAGCTTGAGAGTGGTAGTACCAACTTAGACTGTTGAGTTTTTTAAAGTCAACTTGGTCTTTTGTGTAAATGTAAATTAGACATTGAGAAAATGTGTCCTTTAACTAAACTGAATGGCTCCAAATAATATAAAATGTATTATGTAAACAGCCTTTAAGTATTTGTAGTATATTTTCTTAATAATAAAAATAACTAGTGTTAACTATTTCCCTTGGCTAAAATTCTGTAATAAATTGTGAGCATAGATGTCAAAATGTCTATTTTTATCTTAAAGCAACATCACCAAATGCAGAGGTTAAGAAGCTCTCCTCCTCCTTTCACCATCTCCCACCCCAGCCCAAATTGCTCCCTCTCTTTCTCACACACACACAATGAAGTGACAATGAAGCCTAAAACTTCAAAAAGACTCTGGAATCAGAATATGTGTCAAGGCAGCAGTTTAGGACAATTAAGATATTAATGTAAAAAGGCCAAGAAATCCAGCCAAGTTTGGGTTCTTAAAATACAGTGATGAACATCGAAATGGCAATGAATTTTGGCTAACAGTCAGAAGAGAAAGTGTGGGGGGAAAAAGCCACTGCAGTTTTACTCTAATTGATTCAACTCAGCTAAGAGGGAATCCTGAAATTACCTATTGGAGCTTCCCTCATTCAGGTATCAATAGAGAAAGAAATGTTAGAGGGATGTCTGAGTCAAATATTTCTTACCAGTAGAGTCTAGTCTGTTAATACTATAAACTGCCTGGCTGTGAAACATCCAGAAGTGTCCGTTGTTACAGGAGAGAAGGCAGGAACTACATGGAACAATCACATGATAACCTATAATGTTCCCACTAAAAAAAGAAAGTAAATGCTATTAGATACCATGTAATACCTGGCCATATAAACATTTTCATGTGCTAATGTTAGCCATGGGAGCTCTGGTAGCATAGTGGCTAAGGCACTTGTCTGCAAACCAGAAGGCTGGCGGTTCAAACCCACCAGCCACTCCTCAGAAGGAAGACTGGGCAATCTACTTCCGTAGTGATGGTGCCTCGGAAACCCAAGGAGGAGTTGCTATGAGTCGGGTCCGACTCGGTGGCACAGAACAACAACAACAACAACGTTAGCCATATACTTTAGAACTTCTCTGTCCTAACAGCCTCCATAGCCGGGGTCTTTGGGATAGGAGTTAACTCTATTCATGGTTTCAGTTTTACCATCAAATGGGGAAAGAAAACATAGCTTTTAATTGAAACAATGTTACCACACTTTTGCATTTCTTTGCTACTATTATTTTAGCATGCTTCCTTCAGAAGCTAGGTTCTGGATACCACAAGGTTGTGATTTGTTCTGTAAAGCACACAAAATTGATTTGCTGTGCAGACAAAATATATTAAATAAACTCATCTCTACAGGTAAACGAGGGAGCTCTGGTAGCATAGTGGCTAAGACACTTGCCTGCTAACCAGACGGCTGGCGGTTCAAACCCACCAGCCACTCCTCGGAAGGAAGGTTGGGCAATCCTACTTCCGTAGTGATACTGCCTCGGAAACCCAAGGAGGGGTCGCTATGAGTCGGGGCCGACTCGACGGCACATAACAACAACAACAACAACAACAGGTAAACGATTTTTGCTATCCCTACAACTCTGGCAAGTTGGGTTCTTATAACATTTTAGTTCCATGCCAGCACCTAAAAATTGTTTCAACAGATGGAGGGGTAGGAAGACAGCAGGAGTCCCTGTAAACCAAACACAAGCTGGTAGCTCTAATTTTAGTTTCAGTATTTTTGCAGAAATTCAGAAAAAAAGCAAATCCATGGCCTCTAGAGAAAATTGCAAAAGTTTTTACAGTCTTCAGTATTATTCAGCTGATTACAAGCACTTCACTCTTTTCATAGATTGTTTTACTATCTGGTCACATATTAAATAGTGTGAACATACAAGGACGTTTCAGTTAGTGCTTTTTTTTTTTTTTCTCCTTAATGGCAACATGAACTGTTCATACTTTGAGTTGTAAAAATTCTCATTATACTTTGGTTCTATCTTGTAAGATGTGGGAGTTGGTAATTTTTGTGGGGCCCTATAAAGAATACTATAAAAGCTACCAGCCTACCTGAAGTATGTCTTCTAATCATAACCTGCTTGAAGGAGAAACAAATGAAAAAAGAAGTTGTTCTTGGACTAGGACTGCCAGTTTGTAAAACTACATTGCAAGAGTAAATTCCATGGCTTTAATTACAACCTTCACTCATTCATTTTTCTACCCACTCATTTATTCAACTGATGTTTATCAAGCATCTACTATGTGCCAGGCACTGTTCTAGGTGCTAAGGAAATAAAAACAAAAAAACCACTGCTGTTGAGTTGATTCCAACTCATAGCAACCCTGTCGGACAAACTAGAACTGCCCCATAAGGTTTCCAAGGCTATAAATCTTTACAGAAGCAGACTGCCACGTTTTTCTCCTGCAGAGCAATTGATGAACCACTGACTGACCTTATGGTTAGGAGCTGAGCGCTTTAACCACTACACTACCAGGAGTCCTTTGCCAGAGATACAGCTAGGTCTGCACTGACCAAAACAATGGCCACTAGCCAAATGTAGCTATTGAGCACTTGAAATGTGGTTAGTCTGAATTGAGATGTGCTCTAAATGTAAAACATACAGGAGATTTCAAAGACCAACAGCAGCAAAGAAAATAAAAAATATTTCATTAATATTTTTTTATGTCGGTTACAAGTTGAAATAGTATCTTGGATACCCAGGTATCTCCTGCTTTTTGAGAGTTTGCTTTACACCACTTTGCTTTTATGAAAGACCTACAGTAGTACCTGTTTTCACTAATCAAAAAAAATTTGAAGATTTTTGATTTTAAGGAAAACAGGCAAAATGCAAAACCAGCATTCAGTGTTAGCTTTGTTATTATTATTTTCCATCGACTCAGACTTGACTCATAGTGACCCCTCCTTGGGGTTCCAAGGCAGTATCACTACAGAAGTAGATTGCCCAATCTTCCTTATAGAGAGTGGCCGGCTGGTGGGTTTAAACTGCTAGCCTTCTGGTTAGCAGTCAAGTGCCTTAGGCACTACGCTACCAGAGCTCCTTTACTGAGCTGCTAAAGACGTAGCCATATACCCCATGCACTGGATCAGCAGTGAGAAAGGTGTTGCCAAGCTCCTTCCCCAAGAACTATACTCAGCATGTCAGCGTCAAGCCTCAGTAGCTGTGAAATATGTGAACACTTTATGCTAGTGCTATTTTAGGCATTTATGTGTTATTTGGTATAACTTGGTAGTTTATTTTTGGGGTCTGGAAACGCTCAAAAATTTTTCCCATATAATTAATGATAATTGCTTCTCTGTTTTACGCCATCTTAGCTTACGAAGGTTTCATAGGAATGCTCTGCTTTCGGACAGCGGAGGAAACCTGTACTGGGTTAAATAAAATATATGATTACAATTAATCTTACCAGTTTCTTTTTAATTTTTTAAAATGCAGCGACTAGAAAATTTTAAACTACAAATGTGGCTTGCATTATAATTCTATTGGACAATCTGAGCTTCTGTTACTTCTTTGACCTACACTACTACTCTGTCCCCATACTCACAATGTCTCACTGCAGGGGCCATCATCTTTTTATTCCTTGAACATATTAATTTTCTTCTTGCTTTGGGTTCTTTGCATTTGCTCTTCTCTGCCTAGAATCTTCTTCCTCTGCCTTCTTCTTTTCCTTTAGGACTTAACTCCAATGTTACCTCTTCATGAGAAAACCTGACTATGCTATGTAAAATAGTTCTCACCCACTCTCCCATCTTCCAACCTCTACCATAATTTTCTGTAATTTATTATTATTATTTCCTTTGGAGCACTTCCCACCAAATTAAATTTCTTATTTATTTAAGTATCTTATTGATTGTCTTCTCACTACTACAATATAATATCCAAAGGCCAGCAATTTTGTCATTTACTACTATGAGTCGGGGCCGACTCGACGGCAAATAACAACAACAACAACAACAACAACTATGCTTCTGGGCATCTGTAACAGTGACTAGTACAGATAGGTGCTCAGTATAAATATAGCTTCAATGAAGAAATGAATGAATGAATATCCTGAAATCCAATCATTAGCATATAAGAAGAGTTTGCTAATTTAAATTATTAGGATTCTAACTTATCTTCTAGACCCCATTTAAGTGGAAACATCTCAACTTTCTTCTTTTTAAAATGAGAATAATAACCCTCAGTTTATCTATCTCTCAAAAGATGATAATAATAGCTGGCATCTGTGTTGTCATTTATAATTTATCCAGCCTTTTAACAAGCATGATTCATTTTATCTTCATAATTACTCTATATGGAAATATAGGAAATAAAGAAAAAGAGGTTCAGAAAAAGAGGCTCCTTAAATCTTGGAGGTTTAAGGAATTTACTCAAGGTCATATAGAGAGTTAGAGTAGGGCCAGGACTCAAACCTGATTATCCAAGTGTTTTTCCCCCTAAATTACATTGTTCTGTACTGGAAATTAGAGCAGGTATCTGTGAATGCATTTTGAAAGTCTGTAAAATCATATGTAAATGCCAAATATCAAAAGACTCTTTTTTATAGCTTTAAGTAACAAATGGTTTTTCAATGGCTCATTGTATGGGTTATAACCAGTACTCGTTACAGCCCACTGAACCTTACTCTGTACTTTGGCATCTACATCCATCTTCCAGATCCACTGCTATCTAAAATATTGCCACAAATTACCATTTTAAACATGCGATGTCCTTCAGTTTACATTTGCAGATTTCAGTGAAATAGCATCTTCCAATGAAGTCCACCGCACTGGAGAGAAAAAAGTTTAGAGATAAGTCAAATGTACTTTTGTGATTTAGCATGAATTTTGTAGCTCCAAAGAGCTAAAAGAGATGTTAAAGCAGAATGATAGCCTATTTTTTGAGTCATTTAATGTTTGTGAGCTCACCATAAACATGTGACAGACCTTCCATTTAAAAAATCCTGTGTATTGATTCACATTTCTTAGCACTTTAATCCATCACCATTATAATCACTACAAAGGGAGGAGACAATAGAAAAGGCTTGATTCTACACTATTCTAGACTTTGGCTCTAACCTATAGCAAATTCACCGCAACCTTCCTTATGATTCCTTTATTAATTACCAAAGCTATTGCTAAGATGAATGGGTTAATATTTAAAATTTTTGTGTGCATGTGTGTGCACATGCTACTAAAAAGCAAAAATACTAGATAATAAATCATAGAACCTTTGCAATAGTAGGTTCTATGATTTATTGTCTAGTATCTTTTTTGAAACATACATACACACAAACTTAAAACATCAATCCATGCATTTTGCAATAAATGAGAGCCTTTGTCTTTGCTATTAGGCAACTACACTTAAACCACTTCTGAAAAGGCTCAAGGGAGGGAAAGTCCACAGCTTTACTCAGGTATATTTTTTAAAAAATTTAAGTTTCTATCATTATCATGAAATTCATTTTAAAGTATTATGGTTACTAGCCTGTATCCTCTCGTTCTGTGTCCAAAGATTGGAGGACAGTTGTCCACCCATATTTTGGCTAATTACCCTTTTTTAATAAAGTTTCAGTAAACAGCTAAATTTTTGAAAATCATGGAGGGCACATATATGTTAACTATGGAAAGAGCAAGTAACTTTTAGAGTGAGAAAAAAGTACACTTGAGTCCAATAAAATGGTTATTTTTTCAAAAAGGAAGCAAATTCTTAAGCCCTCTACACCCAAAAGTGGGCACCAAAAACTCCACTGCTGTTGATTCTGACTCATAGCTATCCTGGATAGTAGCAGAAAACATATATATATATATATAAGATTTAATTATGCAAAAAAAAAAAAAAAAGCATAATATCCAAAATAGGCTTTAAGAGAGACAAGGATTATCTTAGGGCTAACTCTCAATTTCATCCCATAAAAACCATACTTAAGTCTCTCTCTCTCAGAGAGAAAGATTTTTTAGAAACAAATATTGAATTAGATGGACAGTAGCAAATAATGGTAGAAAACTATGAATGTTTAAAACTTCATGGGTCAAAAGGAAAAACTTAAAGTTTCTCTCCTCTCCAACAGTACAGAAAATCTTGTCTGAGTTTACTTAGAGACTAGGACACGGGCTTGGTCTCGTGAATTAGGATGGTTGGGGGAGAAGCAGCACACCGCCAGGGATCTAATTTAAGAGATGCGTGGTCACATGAGTATAATTGAACTAGAAACATTACATCAGGATTGACCGCTTTGGCTAAACCACAGACTTTGTCCAGACAGTCTGCCCACTTAGTTATACTCCAAGGGGCTCATCAGACGATTGGGAGTGGCTGGAACACCAAAATGATAACCTCTTTGTTGACTCTCAGAGGTCCAAGCCATACACTTTTCCCATTTAGTTAAAGGCTACCGTTGCCCGCCATTAGCATGACTTACTTGGTAGAAGGGATGTCTGTAGAGAAAAGGTCTATTTCAGTATCAGCCAGCAAAACAGCCTTCATTCCCCTAGAGCTGAGCACTTGTTTACAGAATTTGCAACACAGGATGGACACACACCGGTCCTTGAAACTACAACTGTTGATTGACATGGCGTCCCAGGAAGATGAAGTGTGAGATTTTGTAGAAGGAAACAAGAGTAAGATCCTTCCTAGTTTAATTCACTCAGGCTGAAAATCAAGTTGTTAGCCTTTAGCTTTTTTTTTTTTTTTTGCCTTGAAATTGGGAAGGTAATGAGTTCTTTTTTATTTTCCTGGTGGGAGTATAAAAGTACTATTTATTGAGTAGGAACAGGGGGAAAGTAGCAAATTTAGCTTTCCTTTTGAACTTTCAGGGAAGGTAATGGAGTTTGAAACAGGGAGGTGGCAAGCATCAAAGGAACCAACTTTCCCTTTCTCCAGTCTAAAAAGATCCTCTACTCTTCAGCTCCCGCCCCTTCAGCAATTCACTTAGCCTTCTCTGGTACGGTCTCTTATTTAAAGCGTCTCTTCTCTTGGAACGGCCCCTCTGCCAGCATTATGGCCCTGCTTCGCAGCGCTCCAAATCCCCTCTCTTGGGATCGCGGCTCAGAGTTTCTATCCTCGCCTGCTCTTTGGCAATCTTTCTCCTCTTTCAGAAATCCCCTCAGTTTTTTCCGGCGAGATGATCCCTGGTTCTCAGTCCTTTCTCTCTCGCGCGATCTTCCTCCGACCGCAGGCCCTCGCTATACTTCTCTCAGGCAGCTTGCTCTCGCGTCGTGGCTCGCGTCCTCCCTCTCCTCAGTTCTCCCTCGTGGCCCCAGTCGTCTCCTCAGATCTCCCCGGAGCGGCTGCTCGAGAGAGTGCGGAGGTGGCGGTGGAGTGGGGCAGAGGTCGCTTTTAGGGCTCGGTTGGTACTGAGGTTTCTGTCACCGACCACGTCGGTTTTGCTCCTTCTTCCGCTTTCTGTGCCTTTTCGACCGGCTGTCAGTTTGAATTACCAACGCCGCGCCGCGATTGGGAGAACTAGAGTTCGCCCAGGTCCCGCATTGGAAGGCTCTTGGGCCTGCCCCTGATGAGGTCTTATTGGCTTGGAGACTGCACGCCCCACCCCAGTAACGGTGCCGAGATCAATTCGGCTCTTTGGTTAGTTGAGTTTGGCTCCGCCGCCGATCTCATTGGCCCGCTCCTAGGGGTTTGGGCAAATTCCTACTCCCTCCCTAGTTAAAGTGGCAAGGCACGCCCTTCGCTCATCTTACTGGAAGACAGTCTACATTCCCCACGGTCTCTACTCTCTATTGGCTAAAATTCTCCGCAACGCCCCGCCTTTCTACCCCGGGTCCAATTGGTCGTATCCTCGCACAAGAGTTTGTGTTTGGCTGTTGGTTCCATCTTAATCCCGCCCATCAGTTCTACTTTTGTTGTTGTTGTTGTGTGCCATCAAACTGATTCGGACTCACAGCGACCCTATTTTACTTTACTTTACTTTTCTTTAGGTTCCAACAACCCCGGGAGAAACAAATTCTGTGACCACGCCTCCATAATTCTAGTCCCACCTCCAAGTTTCACTAACCCCTCCTCTTCATTACTGCCCTCTTGGGATCAGCTATTCTTATTGGCTACAGGCCCCATCGGTCGATAGAAAGCGGGCCGTGATTGGCAAGGGGGTGGGTTCTGTTTCCCGGCGGGGTCCTGCGGAGTTGGCGGAGGCTCCTCGGGGGACTAGGGGACCGAACTGCGTAGAAGCGGGTGGCGGGGAAGAGAGGGGAGGAGACCTCTGAGTGGGAAGCGGAGCCGGGGGCCTGGGACCCGTCGCGTCAGAGCCAGGTAAAGGCTCCTTCCCTCTACCCTTTCTTCTTCCCAGCCGCTGGGCTGAAGCCCTGACTGAACAAACCCGGGCTCGGGCGGGAAGGAGAGGGCGCGGATGCTGCTAGCCGCATCGCTTTGGCGGTGCCGCCAAGGATCTCCCAGACCCCCTCCCCTGTAGACCCTCTCTGAATTTCCCAGTTCAGGTCATACTATTTCTCCTCAGGATTGCATGTCTCTCAGCCCTTTTCCGCACAGCCTGGGACTCTGTCCTTGCTAATACTGCGGCGCAGCTTGTACCCTGCCCCCTCCCCAAATTCCTCTGGACTTGGACAGTCTTAGTCCACCTTTCGGCAACAGTCGTTGGCATCACGCGTAACAATCAGCTTCCTTCTTTCCTGGTCTTCAAAACCTGGCAGACAGCCCGAGTCACACAGTTTAGGACTCAGAAGGATGGGTGTTCCTCACTGTTTCCGGGGCTCTTCCCCTGTCCCAGTCTTCGGGCCCTCCCTGAATAGTCCTCTTCACCCACTCCCATTCCCAGATCATTCTCGCTCCCCAAAGTTGATAACATCCTTGCGCTTCTCATAACATCGCGGCCCACGATAGCCTCTTAACCTTGCCACCCCCAATCCAGGTAATCTTCCCCTTGCCCTCTCCGGTTTTAAAAGCTTACGCAGAAGCTTCTGTTATTCCTGGGCCCAGGTCCAACCTCTGGACCCCACCTCACACTCTCACCTCCCTCGGACCCCCCCCCCCGTTTCCTGCTCGCTTGAACCACGCCGCCTTTCTCACTCAGTGCGGCCCTTCCTCCACGGCGGGAAGAGGGTCACACTGGTGTGGGTCACGCTGGTGTCTCTCTCTTCCCGCGGTTGGAGGAAGGCGTAAGCCTCTCCTCCCGGCGCAGAGAGGGAAAGGGGCGAGGAAGGAGGGAAGGAGGCAGGGTCGCCTCTGCGGCACGCCGGCGAGCTAGACGTTTGGCTCTGTGCTCTTGATTCGCTCCCGCCTCCGGGGCCTTCTCTGGGGCGAGATCTCCTCGGGTACCTCCTGGGGCGGGGAATCGGGACTGCGGCCCTCACCGATCCCCACGCCAATACACATACAGCCCAGAATTGGGTGCGGTATCTGGGATCTCTGGGCTTAGGTGACAAAAAAATTTTGGGGAGTGGCATTTAGAATCACTCTCGTCCCGGGCTGTGGGAGACGACGGCTGCCCCCCTCCCCACGCCCCGTTTTCCCGGTTCCGACCCTCGCTTCTAGCCAGTTTCCTGCTTCTGTCGACCACATTGTTTTCCTGGATGTGTCCGGTGCCGAGCAGGCTTTTTCCTGCAGTCCCCCCCCCCCAACATTTTCCTGCCAAGAGAAGCTAGTAACCAAAAACAAAACAACTGGGAGGAGAGGCGGGAGGGGAAGAAAAGTTGTGCTTGGGTGGCTCTTCTGTCCCTGGCTTTGATCCCCCTTTGATGTCCAGGGAGGTGTCCTAGTCAGAGGTCAGGGGCCGCGTCGGTGGCGGGGCCCGGAGGGCCCCCTCGGGCTGGCCGCTGCCCAGCACTGACTGGACTCAGGAGGCCAGGCGGCCACCGAGGTGCTGCAGTCCCTGCCCGGAGCCCGGCGTACCCGCTGCAGTCCCCGCCTGAATCCCGTGCCGGTGGCTGCTCCAAAGTGTTTTCTTTCAGCCTTAAAAACAAAATCCGGAGGGAGCGTCCTTCCTCCCTACCTCGCCGCGCTGGGCTCTGAGGGCCGGGCGGCGTTTGAATGGGCCCTGGGAACGACGTCCCCTACCCCACCCCCGCCGCGATTAGGATCTGCGCCCAAGCTGATCACCCCCACCCCCTCCCCCTTTCCTGCATTTACAGGCAAGTGAACCGAATCAAACGACTTCCGATCCAGTCCGCGCTGCTGCTGCGGCTCCCGTTTGGGATTTGATTTGCAGCATCTTCGAGACTGTACAACAAAAACCGAGAAGCACGCCCAGCCCTCGCCCCGGCGCCCCGATACGCACCCACTCCCTCTCGGGGACACAGCTGGGCGCGTCCACACCCCCGCACCCCCACACCCCCACACCATGCTGTTGTGCGGAAGGACTTCCACTCCCCGCCTGTGTCGTTGATGTCAGACCCCAGGCCAGCCTCCGGGCGCTGCAATTCTCCCGGCTAAGGCTGAGGCTGCGGCTCGGGCTCTAGCACACGAACAGCCGCCCGCGCCTGGCCCCAGCGCCCACCTTCTGCATGTGCCCGCCTTAGCCGCCCACCCAGCCCGCAGCCCGCGCTCGCCGGAGCGCTGGAGACCACCGCGGGGGCCCCTTCTGCTCTTGGGAGAAGCGGTCTTGGAGGTATTGATTTCGGTGGTTGAATTTTTCCCGTGGATCTATAAATTCACAATTCGAATTTGGAAGAAAGAAGGAAAACATGACGTCTCCAGCCAAATTCAAAAAGGATAAGGAGATCATAGCAGAGTACGATACTCAGGTCAAAGGTAAGGGCTTTGAAAAATAGCATAATGCACATGCTGTGTGGACCCATGTAACATGCATTTACACCTTGATTTTCAGGGTGTTCATTTCTTTGGGTGGAGCAGGTGGGGATAGGCTGACCCTAGAGGTGATTTCATAGGTGGGTCCAGCCGACCAAAGGATGGGCAGTGCCAGGCGCCATAGGCGATTGAAGGGAATTTTTCAGAGTGGGCTTCAGGTTTGTCTCTATGGGGCTCGTTTGGTTTTTTTGGGGGGCAGCCCTTTAACCCAGGCTGATTGTGTGGGGGGAGGGGTTGAAGGTTCTTGGAGAAAGAAAGGCAGTAATTTGCCCTAGGATATCTGCAGCGGTTTTCTTGAAGGGCTACTGAAATCTGACAGGTGTTTGGGAATTTATTTCAGGGGTTGAAGAGGAGTCCTGGCTGAGAAAGGCAACCTTGAGAATAGGTACCATATGGGGAGTCCTAGGAGAGGCGGGGCTTTTTTCTGATGTGCTGTATCAAAATAAGAGATTTGCTATGGTATCAGACAAGGAAAGTTCATAGCCACCTTAGTTAGGTACACCTTATATCTGCCTGGTTCCTGATGGCCCAAGATGTAATCAGACATCAGAGAGCAGAAAGAATAAGGTCACCCACACCCTGTCTCCACCTAGATCTGAATTGAGTTAGGATGTTCGGTTTGCTGGGTGGTGTTGATTCTGGAAAATGAGGAAGACATAATTGTTTAACCCTTCTGTGTTGTCTCCCTTTGCTCCAGAATACGTTCTTTGAAAGCCCTATTTTCCTCCCTGCAGAAAATGTGAAGGGTAAAGCGAAATGTCCACCTGGAGAAATCAAATGACCTGTCTCCACATTCAGTTGATGGCTAGACTTGGCATGTGAATCCAGAGCCTCTTCTGAGACAGCCTTTCCTTAACCAGCTTCCCTTAGGAGGGACTCTTGCTTGTTAAGGCCCCCAGCATGTGTTGTGCAAGGTGCTGTCCTTTCCTGGCCAGTCACTGGGAAGAGCCATGTGGCTTCAGCCCATTGAGACCTCAGCTGGGGAGTGGGAGAGGTGGGTGGCTTTGACTGTTACACCACATGGTTGGAGCTCTGGGTTTTCCTTTGTTTCAGAGTACAGAGGGAGGGGCCCCTCCTTGTTTTCCTGCACCAATGCAAGGAGACCCTTTCCTATCATAGAGGACTTGGGAAGGGCCATGTCTCCCCTCTACTGATTGCCTGGGGTGGGGGTAGGGCTAGGGTTTGAAACGGGCAGCTGCCTTAGCTCTTGGAAGGTTAGAAGGTAGTTTGAAGTCCCTATTGTGCCTGCAGATCTTTATTTATTTATTTTTTTATATCCTCAGCTTGGTCAGTGCTGGAGGTGCCCTAAGGGACCTTCCATCCACTTGACTGCAAATATTGGTAGGTTTATTACAGAGGTGAGGAGTAGACTGATATCTTCAGTTGAGCTGGGATTGGGAGAGGTGTGGTTGTAAGTTATAATTGAGGTCTTGGCCTCTTGTCACTGTTCGTAATCCATGGCTGTTTTTGTAAACAATAGGCCACTGGCCTCAGTGTCCTGTCCAGATGCACTGCATTCTGCTTCTGGAATCCACCCTGCAGTAGAATCCAGATATGTCATTCTCTTGTCACATCCTATTCTTAACTGTTGCCATAGGGAGCGTTAATAACTTTGACTTTCCCAGGTTTCTCTCCAGCAGCACACCATTTGACTAAGGTGTAAAGTGATTTTACATGTTTATTTTTTTGGAAGGCTTGAGGTTGAATGGTGTTAATAGAACTGTATCTGCCGATTCCTTATTGGTAAAGGATTTCTCACAGGCATTTCAAAATTAAACACTTTGTGTATTTACAAACATTGCTCATTGAGATGATGTAATGCAGTGGGCTATTTGGGGTTTCTTTTCAGCCTTGCCATAGCAAGAGACCATTTTGCTTTTCTTTGATACTTTTCCATTTGACACTATTCAGTATCAAAGAATTTTATAGATGGCTAAACATGATGTCTTACTCAGAGAAAGTACCTGATAAATGCTTATGAAACTGATTTGAATAGTCGAATCTCTCATTTTACAGTTGAAGTGAGTACAGAGAAATCAAGAGGTTTGTCCAAGGTCACACAGCTAGGTGGTGGTAGATCTGAAATGAGAAGCAGGTTTACCGACTCACAATTCTCTCTTCTGTATTTTTATAATGAAAAAATCCTCTACCTGGGTGGGAAAAAAAATAAAAAGTCCTTAAACCAAAAAAAACCTAAACTCACTGCCATCTAGTCGCTTCCAACTCGTAACAACCCCTGCCCTTAAGGAGCCAAAATCTGTCAGTGAATGACAGTAATAATAATAGATTACATTTTGGGTACTCACTATGTTCCTAACTGTCCCAGGTGCTATACATGAATTGATTTGTTTAATCCTCACACCAGCCCAAGAGGTGGATATTGTTGTCCTCTTCCATTTGTCACATGAGGAAACTGAGGCTTAGAAAGGATAAGAAATCTTTCCAAGGTCACACAGCCAAGCCGTGTAGTTTGATCTCATTCCTTTATTCAGCAACTATTTATTGAGTCCACTCCTCGGAAGGAAGGTTGGGCAATCTACTTCTGTAGTGATACCGCCTCGGAAATCCAAGGAGGGGTTGCTATGAGTCGGATCTGACTCGACAGCAGTGAGTTTGGTTTTTATGGTTTTATTTATTGAGTATCTATATGTGTTCCGGGCTGTGGCAGTGTTGTGGTTAAGGCATTTGGCTGCTAACCACAAGGCTGGTGGTTCAAACCCACCAGCTGCTCTGTGGGAGAAAGATTCTGTAAAGATTTACAGCCTTAGAAACCCTATGGGGTTCTCTATGAGTCACAATGGCTGTGGGTGTGGTTTTGGGTATATGTGTTCTAGGTACTAGCAGTGAACAAAACAAAGTCCCCATCCTCCTGTTGCTTACATTCTAGAATAAGCTCTAGAACCTGTGTTGTCCTTGAAAGAGCTCAGAATTTAGAGACAAGCCCTGGGTTCTAGATTGGATCTTCCCTTTTCACTAGCTTGAAGTCCTTGGTCAGGATTATATTACGAATTTTAGCTTTTTGCATAGGACACATAGTGCTGCTAGTCTTACTTGTCTTACAGGTGCCAAGATGAAAATTGCTATAACAGCGAGTCAATTTGGTTTGGTGGTGAAGAGTGCGGATTTTAGAGTCAAACAGATCTAGGTTGAATTCTGGTATAAAGCCATTTACTTTCCTTGCCACATTGGGCAAGTTAGGTGAAACTTAGTTTCCTCAGTGATTAAAGGCAAGATAATATCCATTTTCTAAGCTAGTTGTGAGGATTTGGTGAAATAGTATTACACATTGTTTGTCACAGTATTTGGCACATGTAAGTGCTCAATAGGTGCGATAGTTAGGTGTTTGTTGAGCATGCCTTCTTGCCCAGTAGGGCTGACCACTAAGGCTGTATTGCTTATTCACTTCAAAGCCCCCAGCTATTATATGATATGAAGTTCTGGTAGTACATTGGTTAAGGCATTCTACTGCTAACCAAAAGGCTGGTGGTTCAAACTCAGCAGCTGCACCGCAGGGGAAAGGTGAGGCAGTCTGTTTTTGTAAAGATTTACAGCCTTGGAAACCCTGAGTCAGAATCAACTTGATGGTAGTGGGTTTGGTCTTTTGGTTTATTAAATTATAGAAAACAAGTCTAGGGAAGAAACTTGAGTTCTAGTTTAAGTTCTTAAGTTCTTCTAGTAGTAACAAAAGATACCTTGGTTCAGTCACACAAACCCTCTGAGCCTGTGTCCTTTTTTGTAAAATGAACTGGTGAACTCCTGCCTTATCCACAGGAGATTCGTTGACTGCTCTTCTGTTTGCCTGACACCAGAGTCCTGGGTCCTACATTTCAGTCGGAATGGTTAGAATCAAGTAGACCTAAAAGGAATTTGTAGGACCCTCTCTCTCGTATGGTTTTTTCCTTCTTTGAAGCCACCTGCTTGTATGTGCCTGAAGGACTTGTGAGGCTGCAGCCCCATCCCCAACCCCAGTGTGGTTTTGTGAGGGGCGTGCCTCTTTAGTCAGCTAGCTGCCTTTCTTAAAACCATCATTGTTTCTGGTTTGTGGGTGTTCAGATTCCTTTGAAAGTTCATGCCTCTCACTGTCTGACTCGAAAGCAGTAATATTTTTAGTGTTTTTGCTTAGCTCCTTTCAATTTACAAAGTGCTTTCATGTATATTCATCTCTGGAAATGATTGACATCCCTGGTTAGATTTGTGGTCATAACCTGAAGCCTTCTGGCATCTACCCTGTTGGTTTCTTTGCTGGGATTGGAGCAGCTGAAGTGATGGTAAGGTGCCAGGGCATGGTTACCAGAGATGATAATCTGGGTGGTGTTTGGGTGAGGTCACGTTACTGTATACAGTCAGTCCTAGCTATTGCCCTTTCCTTATTCAAATCCCCTTTTTCTTACCCTTTCCATACCTTGAGTTTTTACAGAAAGTTGGAGATTGACAGTTAATGCAAATATTCCAGGAGGAATAGTCAAAAACAGTGGCACTGTATGCTGGGCAGTTAAATTCTCTTTCTTGAGAACATTGGGGGTCTTTTTTTTTTGAATGTGTTACAAGAACAGTGTGTGTGCACCACAGAGCCGGAAAGTGAAATTTTGTACTTTCCATCTGGAGCAGTTTGATAGAAAAAACGCAAGCCTTTGCCTTGAACAGTTTAACCCTTTCAGGACCCTTTTAGGGCCCAGAGTTGAAATTTAAAACTCTACTCATATTGTGTGTGCGTGCACATGCGCTTGGGAATGCCAATTGCTGGTATTTAAACAAGCTCATCACCCTGGGGAGGTCTGAGTGCTTCTTCACAAATGCCAACAAAGGTCTTCTTCTAAGCTTCTTTCCTTCCAGCCCCCACTTCCCAAGGGAGCTTTAAATATAATCAGTTTGTGAAAAGCTGCAGTAAAACATCTCGTTGGAATCCCCAAGCAGATGCTATCATTTTCCTGCGAGATGATTGA